CTCTCTTTCTCTCACCTCTTTGTGTATTAATCCATCTCTGTCTCACATCCATCCACTAGGTGACAGTAATGACACAGCTCTCTCCTCTTCCCCTCCCTTTCCCTTTGTTTCCCTTATAAGGACTTGCCCGGCCATTTCCTCAGCTTTTCTGTGGGAGGTGGTGTGCTTGTTTGTGAACACGGACAGGTCAGGAGAACAGCGGCGTAGTTTTTTTTCTCTTTTCATAGCAGTCACAGGAGTCTTGCACTAAAAGCTTCTAGATGCATGTGTACTCATCCACTTTGTAGTCTGCTGTGAGTGACCCTCCTCATATCTCTTACCTGCCCGTTTGATAATAACACTTTGCCAAATTTTACTGCTCCACAGTTTTGGTCTTTAACAACAACAAAAAAAAAAACCAAAAATGAAGGGATGCTCCGATGAAAAGGACGGTCATGACAGAAGCCTGGACTTCTGGCTTATTTTTTATCAGCAGAAACACCTGATATTGAGCTGTGTGAGAAAGTCTGATAACACAGATATTTATTTTCTCCCATATTTTGTACTAAATTGCTGTAACTTTCAATAAACCCAGTCTTTTCTTAAATGACTAAACTGCAATTGGGTCAATACATGCTATTTGACTTTCACTGCCAGGTTGGTCTTTAAACGCACCGGTACTTACATAACAAAGGTAATGATCAATTCTGGAAAGACAACAATCACATAGAAGTATAAAATAATATGACAGAAGTCACAACAGTGTTGCACCCAATGCGGATCAACAAGTCGACTTCACCTGAGCACCGTTCCACTGTAGGCAATGATGACGACATGATGATTCTGAGTTTATTTTCATATATTTTCAAAGGTCTCCAGAGTATTTAAGGTGAGAATGAAAAAACAAGAAGGTATAATGAACCTTTGAGTTGCAATTTGTGTTGTTTACCAAAGAAATTTCTGTTCTTAGCACAAGTTAATTGGACAATAATGAGATAACAATAAGATTTGGCTCCCTACCTTGTAATTTCTTTTTGTCGCTAACCAATCAGAGAATCTCCAGGGGAGCCGGTGTTTCTTCACCAGCCCAAAACTGCGAGGTTTGATTTTTGTAGTTTGTTAAGAAAAGAATCAGAATTAAAGCTGATTTACTGAGACGAAATTTTGGTCCCTCTCGATGGGTGTTTTCTTTCTTTTTTTTTCTGCCTCAACTAAAAACGAGTTGGCTGTTTTCATCCGAGTTTTAATCCCTGCAGGTATTCATTTATTTATATATTATTAGAAGTGTTATTTATTGTCTCATAAGCTAATTACTATGCATCAAAGCAGCAGAAGTATTGGAAGACCAACAAAAATAGTTCACATTTCAATAATTAATTCAATTATTTGCACAATATTACACTATACAGCATTAATAAAATCATTTTTCCTGTCAAATTTTGTACATTTTTATCATGTTTTGCGAGGCCTGGAACAGGATGTGAGGTTTGTTATTTTTCTAATTTATTGATCTTCACCTGATCTTGTGTGAACCTGATGTCTTTAATGTAACAATAACATTTTTTAATAAAAGCACAAATGATTAAATATAAAATTGTAACGTGAAAAGAGCAGAAGAATCTAAAAGGGTTCACGAGTAAGCCTGAACGAGAAGAGCCACTCAAATCTGTTGTTCTCCTTAAGGAGCTTTATGCTGAGTTTCATCTCATTTCTCTGCTGTGTGGCCTACAGTGCCGCCGTTTTGGTTTCTGTTAACATCATTTCGTCCACACAAGGAAGCTGGGTTTTTTTTTGTCTTTTAAAGCAGAAATTCTTTGTGCACTCCCAGTGCAGTACTGAGAAACACACTTAGCTTCTAGCTGGTGAGCAGTGCAACATCTAGGATTTGAAGAGATGCAAATGGTGCAGACAAAAGGAAAAGCGCGGTGATTGAGCGGAGAGTAAACTTCTGTTCATCAAGTGGTCAGAAACACAATCAAATGACCTGAAGTCTTACAGTGAAAAAGAAACAGTTGATATGAAATGAAGTGTAAGGTGCTATTATGTCAATATTGTTTCCCTCCCAACATACTGGTTCTTTGTACTTTTCAGTTGATTTGTGTTTCAGAGAAGTGATCATCAATGCATAATGTACACATTTCTCTCCCTGTCTAAAGTTTCCAGATGGCTCATGGAAGAGCGTGGATGAGGGCTGAGCAGTAGTGGGGACAGAGGGCTTCGAGGCCTGCCTGTCGTCGCCTGGCTGACTGCTCCATCGAGGTGAGGTACCGCTCTCACTGGGGCACAGAACGGACCGAGGAAAGGTCCCTCCTTACTCACCCCTGCCCCCTTTCCACCCTCACCCCCAACCCAGGCACATACGTTCTGGACCATGTCTAGCGGGCTATCGGAGGGTGGCCAGACAGAGGACCTGGAGCGGAGTAGCTGCAAACAGGACTCTCCTGTTATAGAGCGCCGAAACCGCAGTGGCATCATCAGTGAGCCCCTCAGTAAGAGCCTTAAGAACTCCCGTACCCTCTCCCAGTATACAGCGGTCTCCTCTGCCACCACCAATGGACACACAGACAATAGTGAGACTAAGAGCCACCCGGCCAAGCCTCAGCCCACCCCGCAGCCCCAACCCACTGTCTCTGCACTGACAGCAGCCAAGTTGGACCGAACCCTAGAACAGGTTCTGGAAGGACAGAATGGCCTGCTGCACTTTGCCCAGGCAGCAGCACTGTTAAAGCGAGCCGGTATGGAGCACATGCTCCTGCCTGGGGGAATGGGAGTGGGAGTTGGCGGTGGAGACGCAGGCTCGGGGGCTAGCGATTTGGAGGGTACGTCTGTCACGGACGCCGTAGGTGGTCCTGTTGACTTCCCATATGGAGTAGGGGGTGGCTTCCCCTTCAACCCGGGGCTTTTCATCATGACGCCGGCTGGAGTGTTTCTGGCGGACAGCGCGCTGCACATGGCCGGCCTGGCCGAGTACCCAGTGCAGAGCGAGCTGGCCTCTGCTATCAACTCCGGTAAAAAGAAGCGAAAACGTTGTGGGATGTGCCCACCTTGCCGACGGCGGATTAATTGTGAGCAGTGCAGCAGCTGCCGGAATCGAAAAACGGGCCACCAGATCTGCAAGTTTCGCAAATGTGAGGAACTGAAGAAGAAGCCCTCTGCTGCTCTGGAGGTAAGACAGTGTTTGTTATGATGTGCCATTGCTTTAGGAGGCCATTCTGATGCAAAAGGTCACTAAAAAGCTATTTGGACGCATTTACCATTCATTATCTGTAAAGGTAAAGAAATATGAGACACACAGTTGTAATTATTGGCTTTAAGATTTGTAGCTGGGAAGTTAGCAGGGAAAAACCTCTGTAAAAGTTGCCACAAAGGCTTTTAAACTTTACAAACAAATCTGAGACTCACACTGGAAGGCACAAATGAGATTCATACCTGAATGTCCTTGCCCTTTAATGTGGATAGTACAGGGAGGCTTTTTGGTGGGGTGATGGCTCCACAAGCAGGAAAATGACAGGTGGTGAAGAGTGCGGTGGGTAAGTTCATGCCATGGGGTCTCTTTAATCTGTTCACCATAACTAACAAGCGCTGTGTCCACATTTCTTTACTGGAAGACTGATTCACCGGCTAAAAAACAAGCATGTCATTTTAAAATGATGCTACTTAATGTAGTTCCCTTTACTAGAGCACTTTGGATTTGATCCCATATAAAACGGCCTTGTGTGTTCCTCTGTTTAACTGCCAGGAAATGCAAATAAAATGGTGTGTGTGGAGGCAGAGTGGAAGTAATTGTGAATATGTGTACAGTATGCATGTAAGCATACATGTGTGGGCATTTTTGCGTATGTGTACACATGTAACAAGGTCCATCTGGCTACAGAGCTGTCATCTGGAGCACCAGGTGTCAGCGTGGCACATGCGCCCCCACCTAACCCCCCATCTCCTCCCCCCGGCAGCCTTCACCGCCACTGTCCTTCTCTCCTGTGACACTCCTGTTCATCTAAATGGCACTCTGAACTTCCTGTCCGTTTCCGCCGTCACACTCAGCAGCCTAACTAACTCTGGCTGCAGTGACAGAATGACCAATCATGAAATCCATCTCAGCAGATGTTCCATCTCAAAGGAAATAAACTTTTGCGATCAATGCCTAATAGTGTCGCTTTGCCGTTACATAATGAATTGACAGATATGTAACCCTGTGAACCAGCGGAGAGGCCGCTGGTGTAATTGACACAAACTGGATCTATGATTCCAACTGGTTATAGCTTTACCACTTTCGCTTTCTGATGTTGATTGAAGGTGACAGCTTGACCTCATCCTAGCAGGCTAAAGGTGTTCAGTCTCCACATACTGACTTTGACCATCCAAAGTCAAACTTGATAGCATGCTCACTGGACACTTTGAGTAATGCAGACTTTTTTTTAGCTTGTGTGTACACTTTAATGTGATTTTAGAAAGGGATTAGCTTAGTTTAGCTTGATTAATGTAGGTTAATATAGCTCTTTAGCCCTTTAAGATTATGTCTTGCTAAGCAACCAACATTATAATGTATAAGTAATATATAAATATATATATAAAAAAGTGCATAGAATCAAATTCTATTAACATCATCTTTACATTGTATCACATTCATAAACTGTGCTTTAGTATTCTTTAAAAATTTCTTTACTGACAAATAATTTAAAGTCTTGCACTACATTCATTGTTCCTATATGATGGATGTGAATTAAACTTTTGCATATAGTGCATTTATTACCACTTTGAAATAATTGCACGAGGGGATAATGTAACTTTTGTCCAGTATCTTGATCATTTTCTGGAAACAGTCGTTACTGTGTTTAGTGGACACACATCTATGGCCAAAGATAGATATTTGGTGATTTCAGTGCATCTCCGTGAGCTGGATACGTTGACACATCGTTGCGGTTGCCTTTCACAGACATCTGAACTGATGCTGGGCGATTTCTGTTAGCAGCAACAATACGTTGTTTTTCTTGGCTTTAATTATATGCATTAAACGCTGCAGTTTGTGGTGGCTTCTCAGGCGCTTCAATAAGTTTGTTGTGTTTCTTTATGGGGCAGACACACAGCGCTCTGTGCATGTGATTTCTTTCTACTTAACGTCACTTGTGCTAAACCCAAAAGGATTTCCAGAAAACGGCCTGCTGGACGTTTGAGGTTTTTTCCCTGTCGTTTATCTGTTTTCTTGCACTGCTACTCGTCCAGACGAGTCCAGGTAACTTCAAGCGACGTGGTGCAGGGAACATCTGTGATTGCAACGTGTTGAGCGCTGATAATATTGCTCAGTCACGCTCATTGAATGGTGGGAAGACAGAACTGTGATCAAGATTACAGTTGGATTGATTGTGTGGCCCTAATTTTGTCTGTCTAAAGCAAAGGATGAACTCATGAATCGTTTTTTTTCTTCATTCTTCCCCCTTAAGTCTGCACAGAGAGGTACTACTACTACTTATTTCCTATTTCAGGGCATCACAGTCAGTAATGCTGTCTCTGTCTAATGATCTCAGTCTAACCAAGTGCTTTTTATTATAGCCATGATATAGAAATACCTAAAAAAAAAAAGAGAGAAGAAGAAGATCAGAGTTCGTCCATAACAAGGTGGAAACCTCCCCAAATCCTATCCATTGCAATGCTTGTCAGCATGTCAGACTGAAAAAGGGCTTCTACTGTATGTGTAATTTGAAAGAATAGTGACTCAGCATTGATTTGATCTTATTTATCCTTAGAGGACTAACTGATTCTGTCAGAGTGGAGATTGTGCCTGGTTTGACTGACTTGGAGCTGGAATTTGTAGTTTGACAGCATCCTTGGCAATAGTTTTTACGCAGCGTGTAAATAAATGTAAAAAAGGAAATAACTGGGAACATTAAAAAGTTTACAGAAATGCTAATGGAGTAAAAACCTTTTACAAACACGCCATAACTTATTACTGGCCCTTCCGTGAGCTGAAAGTGTGAAACTAACCTGGTCAGACACGACCATTGTTAGGGGAAAACAGCCAGATGTTCCCTGATGCTGAAAATCAGACTGATCTGTATGAATATTATCATTTTGCTTTTGCCTCTCGCATTGTTCAGATTCAAATTGATGAGAAGATCCATTTGTCTTTGTCGATGATTCACCGAAAATGGTGAAATGTGTCAGCTTGCTATGTAGGTGGTGCGGCTCAATGTCTCTTAGAGAAAAGGATTTAATTTTAATTTATCATTTGCAATTGATGTTGTCATGGCAGTTAGCCTAACACCAGTTGTTCACACCACGGATGCCAAACCCGAGGGGATTGGAATAATCACGGTAGTTGACGGAAGTCGTGTTGTTTGGAAGGGCGCAGCCCGCTGATGTTCCTAGTGACCACCTCATATGAAAGAAACACCAGCATAAACCTGTCAAAGCTTTAAGTAGAATCGCACTGACTTCAGTAATTGCTTGCAACTAATTTATTTAATAACCCTGTCAAACTGTTTCCTCTGTTTTTTCTGACCAGATATGGAGAGGCTAATCTTTTATTGCCGCTTAATTAAATGTGAAAAATAATACAGCAATACAAGAATAATGAATATTGTCAGCGTCTCCTATTACATCATCTCATGATAGCATCTGCAGAGCGGCGTAGTTGACCAGAGCACGCCGTGTGCTTTCAAAGTCAAGCATTGCCTGACCTAATCCATTAGTAGCTGGAGTAAACATGAAATGTTGTCACTTTTCACTTCACTGAATATGCCACAATAAAGTTGGCCGGTACATCAGATATTAAATAGAACAACAAGTGCTTTGTTGTTGTGCAACAGATGAAGTCTGACTTCTGTTGAACAATGCTGCAGTGCCACCTTGGATGTGTGAGTATTCCTGCAGATCCACAAATGCAGCAAGGCTACATTTGGGAAAAGGTGGGAAACGTTCATGTTAAGGTGACTGGCAGTCTAACAAATTCACATTTTTTTTAGGTAATCCCTCTGATGCTGCTTTATAAACCTAGTGGTCTTATTAATTCAAAGAGGTCCGCGAGCTGTTATGCCTTTGCCCTGAATGTTATTTGATATCTTTTCCCTTGGAGCAGAGCTCTGCCAGTACTACAAAAGTTTCATTTTTGTCTGTCTTTGTTCTTAAGCCTGCAGATCTTGTTTAGCAGGTGATGAGATCACAGATCAAAGCCCGAACTGCACTGTCAGAGTGTGATGTCATCAGTACATCACACTCTGAGACTGAGATTCACGAGGGGGAAATCGTGTCAGAAGAAAGAGCAGAGACTCAGCGTAATTCACTAATGTCTGTACCGACTAGATGCTGTGAAAATGTGTTTCACGCAGTATTTATTTAGTTTTTAAACACGGGCTTTAGAAGAGAACTTCCTACTTTCCATTAATGCATATTCAGGGCAACTTGGGAAGCACCTGCGCCAGAACAGAAGATCCTCCTGGCTTTCACAGTCCACAGTGAGCTGCAGTGAGGCTCAGCTGTAGCTCAGACAGCCCCTAAGTGTCACATTTCCTTCCAATCAAAGATAGTGCAGCACATCCCCGTCTACTGTGGCTTTAATACTTGGCGCACAGTTTCTAAAGGAGCATTATGTCTTATTTAACACGTTGCGCGGTCAGTTTATCAGATGGTTTTGACTGTTTTTTCGGCCCGTCTATGTGTGCGCGCAGCTGCAGCTAGAAAAGACTGACAGAAATATCCTGGCTTCGCTTGCCTGAATTTGCATTGAAAGGTTTTTCTTCTCGTGTTTGTACCGAGCCTATGAGCGTATACACGTCGGTACACAAGTGCAGTCCAGCAGCAGTGTGCTTATTTTAAGGGTGTTGACGGTTTCCATTGAAAGCTCATGGCAGCTCAAAGAGGAGCGTAAAATTGGCAAGTGAGGGGGAGTCAGTATGCTGAGGCCTTTGCCACCTCATAGCTCACTGGCTGAAGGTGTCTGGATTTATTCTGGGAATGTTACATTTGATAGAAATAAGTGGGACGGCAGTTCCTTTCTGTGCTATGTCTGAATACCCTCAAGTGATGTAAGTCTCAGCGATGCTGTTTGGCATAAAAAAAGTAAAAGGAAAGACGGGGTTAGGAAGTGTACCTTGTTTTTACTTGAATGTCATTGTTGGGATGTACTGTACTGGAGTGTCGGGACTACTTAAAAGATAAGACCAGCTGTTTTTT